CTAAAAATAAATTTAAAAAATATTAAATTCAACCGTTAGTTTGATAAAATATAAATTATATAGAAATATTATTAAGTAATATAAATCCCAATATAAATTACCCAAATATAAGATGAAATTGAATCAAAAATCTTGGGCAAAACCAAACATACCCTTCTAGGCATTAGCGCGTGGTCCTTACCATAGACTAATAATAAGGCAGACGGTCCCATGTACAATTATGCCTTGGACATTTGGCTGGTGAGAAAATAAATTCACATTAATGGAATTGGTTATAGGCACCGTAAAATATGATAAAGTCATTAATATTTTTTTAAAAAATAATGTTTAAAAATAATAATTAAAATAAAAAATATTTTAAAAAAATACACTTAATTGTTTTTAAACATGTCCTTATTAATAATTTAATATTAAACAACAACCGCTAACTATTATATAACTAAACAGTTATATTTATCAAATTCGTTATTTACTATTCGTTATCCACTTTCTATTATCTATCATCCACTATCCGTTAACCACCACCTATTATCAAATATCACTATCTATTATTTACTACCTATTATCTGCTATATATTGAATTTTAACTGTTATACTAAATTGGCCTTTTTAGAAGATGTGTTTAGTGTAGTTTTTTGTAACAACTTCTTTATCGTTAAAGTACATATTTAAGATGTCGGCCTTGTCATTCATGTTTGACTTCATGCCAGCTGAAACTACCTATACTTCTAGAGGTGCAATTGCTTGCTTTGCATCCTCAACCCATTTTGCGAACAGTTCATTATCTGCATTTTTTCAACTGGATATGCTGGAAACTCTTGTATCACCTCCAAGATTGGCATTCAACATACCTGATATTTGACGCTACTTCCCCAATTTTCAGTTAATTCTTGACTTTGCCCCGGTACATTATTAATGGTTAAAGAACATGTTGAGATCATGAGAAATTTCAAATTCAAATTGCCTTAATACCACTTAACTATTTATATATGTTTTTGGTAAAGTCTCATGTTGTTTACACCACACCTAACACCTGAAGTTGCACATCATCAAGTCGCAATTGATCTTGAGCTTAGTTTAGTTCAGTTCGCAGTCCAGACCTGAAGTGGCATGTAGGTGGTGTCCCACATGGCAAGATAAGATGCATATCGCTCCCTTTAATGAAATTTTATTTGAATTAGATGACTAAGAGAGATTTTGGGAAGAGATCATGTCAGGGTTAATTAGAGTTATTAAAGAGGTCAAATACAACTGGCAAATTTAGAGCAAAAATAGGAAACTGTTGTAGCCAAAATGGAGAAGAAGCTAGATGGGCACAAAAAGTGGTGAGAAATGAACAGGAAAACATGGGAAAAACCTCGGGCAGCAAGGTAAAAGCACCTCCTTCGACAGAAAACCATTTTTCAGGCTTGCCCCTCTCAAAAAAATGCCTAGTGCATTGCAATTTCAATTCCAAATCAGTTTAACCAGCCTTTCAACATAGTCTCCAAATTGCAATTCAGAATCCAGTTCTCGTTCATAACTTTAGTTTAAATCTTTTATTTTGTTGAAGGTCTACCTAGCACAAGATTTTCTCGAACCAACCAAAATTGGCAGCATGTTTTTCTAGACGGAAGTCTTGAGACCAGTTCTCACTTCGTCTTCTAGGTTTTACTTTTGTTGTTTTGCTCTAGTTTGCTTAGTTTTTATGATTTGAGACCAGATTTTATGTTTTTATTATAATCTTTATATGTTTTTAATTTTCTTAGGTTCTTCTCATGGATTTAATCTGTAAATTCATCAATGTTAAATTTCATATATGATATTATAGCTAATTTAAGTTTTACAACTGTTTTAAATAATATTAATGAAATCATGTTTTTTTATATTTCAAAACTCCTATTTACTTCCACCTAGTCTTTACATATCTAATGTCTGATTGCAAGTAGAATAATCTACTTTGTAATGTAGCTATTCTTGCATATTTGCAAATTTATTTTTAGTCTGCATATATAGTTTGTTAATTAGTGTAATTCTTAGTTAATATATAGATTTGTCATTCCTTTAATCCAATTTATATTTTAAGTACTGTTCATCTTTTAGTTGTTATGCTTTACACTACTAGAAATTGTTGAAATTTAAACCGAAATAATTCAGACCAATTACCATTGGTCTCAAAAAATAGTTATTTGGACCACAGTTGGTCTCAATAATTATGGGTATCGAAATCATGGTCAATTTTCAATATTCAGACCTTAAACTGTCTGAAAATTTTTGGCGGTAGAATAGTAAAACCTGTGAAATATTTTCAGATCGATTATGGTCTTAAATATTGTCAACAAAAAAGAAAAAAAATAACACAGGTGAAGCAACAGTAATTTTTTTTTTTTTTTTTTTTCATATTTCCAGACCAATAATGGTCTGAAAAATGACAAAATAATTTCTGAATTTATTTATGATATTGCAGGTGCTTTGCATTTTGGATATGTACAAACCAAAAATGGTCTAGAAAATTACAGATAATAAATGTAAGTTTCAGACTAATTTTGGTCTGGATAAGTGCAGCAAAGTTGCTATTTCCCCATATTTTCAGACCATAATAGTACTATAGTTTTTGTCGTCAATGATATTTAAAATGCAGCTTATTTTGTATATATGCAGATAAAAAATGGTCTAAAAATTTGCAGCAAATAAATCTCATTTTCCAGACCAATTTCGGTATGGAAAAGTGACAAAGCATGTAAAAGAGGCATTACAAAAAGACGAGATTTAAAATGGAGTTTATTTTGTATCTATGGAGACAGTGATCCGAATATAAATTTTTTTTCAATGTTGTATATTTATTTATTAGTTTTAATTTTTTATTTATTATTTCAATTATTATGATATTTGTTAGTTTATGTCACTATCAATATGTTTATTTTATTTTGCATGTTTTGTATTGTTATAATTATATTTATTTTATTTACTATAATAATCTTAATTTATTCAATACTATAATTATATTATGTGTATTGTGCTTTTTTCTATGATTTGATTGATATTTTCTACATTATAATTAAATAATTATATTTATTTTATTTAAAATGTGAATGTTAAT